AGAGAGGGGGGGGTGGGGAGGGAGGGAGGGAGGAAAAGAGAGAAAGAAAGCCACCACCAAAACCAAAAAGCAAAACCAAAAAACAGTGAGATGGATCTGCCACTCAAGCCTAACAACCTGAGTTCAATTCCTGGAACCTACATAGTAGGAGGAGAAAATCAACTGCCAAAAATTGTCCTCCAACCTTTGCAGGCACACATAGCACATGTGTGCCTGTATTCACACCTATACATCATGCATACACTCAAATACTAAAGGGTTTATAAAAAGAGAAATATGATAGATTTACTGTAACTTTTTGGAAGTCTACTGTTATGCTAAAACAACTGTTCTGTAATCCATGCTTTATCGCTGAATGTCAGTGTCTTTTCCTACTTTCTGTGACTACTATTTTGGCAGTTATATCTCAAACCTAGAAAGTACTACAATTCTGTGAATAATGAGTCACACCAGGTCATATTATATATTGAGTCTTGTTTTTCTGTGTGTGGTCTTTTTGAGACAGGGTCTCCCTGTAGTCCCAACTGTCCTGGAACTCGATATGGTCTTGAACTCACAGAGATCCACCTGCCTCTGCCTTCTGAGCGCTGGGATTAAAGGTGTATGCAACCATGCCAGGCATATATATAGAGTTTTTACCCCTTCCCATTTACTTATTTCATCTGTCTTCACCACAGTCAGATCTCCAAACATAAAGTCAAGAGTTCCTGAAGATGAACCACGAGTTTCTAAACTTGACCCATGTCAAGGTCAAAAGGTTTGCAATTCCAAGTTTTATACATATTATTGAATGAATATTTGTTCAATTATTAATCTACATAATTATATCAAAGCACCACCAAAAGCTTTAAAAATATTTTTGAATTTACTTTTATGTGTATGAGTGTTTTGCCTGCATGTGTGTAAGTATATCACACGCATGTAAAGTACATGAAGGCCAGAGGAGGGCATGGGATCCCCTGGAATTGGACTTACTGATAGTTGTTGGCTACCATATGGACAATGGGAACTGAACCCAGACAGGCATCTCTCCAGCCCCAACTGAAAACTATCTTTAATTAAGAAAACTTCCAATTCTTACCTCTCAATTTTAATTTAATTCTTGAACAAGGTAGTTTTCTGACACATTAGGAAAACAAGTTATGAGAAGATATATGTGCAAATTAATTAGCACAGGAATAATTTGTGAAAGAAAACAGATTTAGTTATGGATAGCAGTTAAGTGCCAAGTAAAAGCTAATCCAAACCAAAACATTCAGCACCATTTTTATTTCTGGCAACTTCAACTGCTGGCTAAAAAAGTTATCCCAGCTACAACATTAAATGGTAATAATTTATTGTGCTATAAAATACTGGTAGATTTGGCATGCCTTTCTCTCAGCTGAAACTGTTACTGGTTCATACACCCCAGTTACAGAAGTTAAACTTAATGATTCTACTGTGAAGGCCAGCTGTGAACCAAATCATCAATGGATTTTTTTTCCCCAAAATGAATCTATCTACTTCATATTCCCCCATCACTAAGATTCTAAAAGGAACTGTAGATAAAAGATATGTCTGTGTATCTTAAAAAAGAAAGAAAAACAACTACTAGACTATCATCACTACTTTCACAGAGAATTCTTAAATTAGGTTCAATTCTTGTTTTTTGTTTTTGTTGTGTGTGGTGTGTGTGGGGTATGTGTACATATGTGAATGTGTGCAAGTGAATATGCATATAGAGACCAGCATTTGCAGTTGATGCCAGCTGTCTTCCTTATTCAGTTTCCACTGTGTGTATTTTAGTAACATCTCTCACTTGAACCCAAAGATCTCAGATTTGACTCATTTAGTTAGCCAGCTTCCTCTGGAGCTTCCCTATCACTGCTTCCCAAGTGTTGGGATCACAGTCTGGCTACCAACACCCATTTGGCATTTATGTGGGTCCTGGGGGTCCAAACTCCAGGCCTACCATTTACATGGTAGGCTCTTTACCTGCTGAGCCATCTCCATAGACCTCAATCTTTCCTTTTTTTAAAGTACTATATCAATAGTAAACACAAGAAACAGAACTACAGGGCTGGAAAGATGGCTCAGAGGTTATGAGCTCTGGCTGCTCTTGTAGAGGATCCAGGTTTGATTTCCAGTACCCACATGGTGGCTAACAACTGTCTGTAACTCCAGTTCCAGGGGATTCGACACCGTCTTCTGATCTCTGCCAGCACTGCACGATACAGGTGCACTTACATACATGCAGGCAATACACTCACAAATAAAAATAAAAATAAAACATTTTTTAAGTTAAAAAAAAGCTACAAAGTGACATAAGCTCATCAGAAAGCTATTGCAGCAAATAACTGTACTAACAAGTGCTGGCCACCTTCGTAGGATTCTGTGCCAGCACCCCGCAGAATCCACTATTACATTTTAGACACTGAAAAATGTTCAGCTCCTATCTTGAGAAAAGCAGTTTACTAACTGGAGAAAATTGTAAAGGGAAGCAATTCTGGGGTTAGGAAAAAGAAACAATCAATAAAACACAATTATTCTGGAATCAAAAGAACAACTATTTTGTGCAGCTGATAGTGCAACTTCAAGACTTCTGCCCATATTTTATTTTAGTGTGTAATTGTGTAGTACTGTTTTTTTCTATGATAAAGTTCAGTCAGGCTGAAAATCATCCTAGTATGCACTAAACTATTATAGGGTGCCAAAGCTGTGTACTAACAACAATCAATCAAATCCACATTGCATATTAAGATAGCATAAGGGTCAGATTGAAAAACTTTCAGCTGGGCATGGTGGCAGACACCTTTAATCCCAGCATTCTGGAGGCAGAGGCAGGTGGATCTCTGTGAGACTGAGGCAACCCTGGTCTACATAGGGAGTTCCAAGTCAGCTGGAGCTACAGGGAGACCCTATCTCAAACAAAACAAAACAAAACAACAGCAACATTAAAAACACAAACTTTTAAGATCTATTCTGAAGTAAACAGCTGTTTCAAATTCCTTATAAGCAGTTTCAATGTTGAAATCTTTCAGAAGCAAGAACCTCTATGATTATAAATAATCATCCAGTTACTATTACATGCTAATTTGGATTACTGTTTCTTAAATTGGTAGTTTTCTACTCAATGTTCAATTTATGACATTCTACAATGACACCTACTGGCCATTTAAAATCAGCCATTAGTTTAAGACAGCTAGAGTAAGCTGGTTACATAAGAGAAACACACACATAAATACACACACATTGCACACCACCCTACCTGAAGACAAAGATTTGTTCACAGGTAAGTAAAGCACTATAGACTTTTACCCACATAAAATATAAGCTTCCTTTGTGACTAAGATAGTATTAGTCTGATAAAAAGATAAAAGACAAAGAATGAAACACAAGTATCATTTTTAAACTTTCAATTAAAGCACTGACAAATATCTCAGTGCTCTAAACATTTCAAACAAACTCTAATGATCCATTTCTTCTCACATGATATTTTGAGAGGAAAAAAAAGATTTTTACATGCACTAATATAAATGATCAATAACAGAAAAAAATCACACCTTAGAAAGTTTTGCTGACATGTAATTCAAAAATAAGTCTGGGAAAGTGAAACACTGATACTACATTTGTTCCCATCTTCTAAGTTAAAGGTAGCATTTCAGCCAACTTATGTTTTAGTAATGTATAATGTTTCTTTTAAAAATTATTTCCAGTCTTTTAAGATGGTTTTTCCAATGAGTTGTAAAATCAAGTGTATTTCCCCAACGCATGCCAACTGAAATGTTTTAACTCTACATTTCACTGTGCAAACAATGAATTTAAGATTTTCAAAAAAGGTAATTCAGTTTTTAATCTGTAAATACATTTTATCTAAGTCCAAGACATTCAAAAAACATTTTTAAACCTAAGAACTCACAACTAGCTTCTCAGACTTATAAAGCAAACCTTAAAAGTTGACCCCCACAACCACTCCATTTTTTTACACTAACTAGGCATTATTTTAGCTCTCCTCTCTCTCTCTCTCTCTCTCTCTCTCTCTCTCTCTCTCTCTCCTCCCTCCCCCCCCAACCCCCCCCCGCCCCCCCCCCCCCGTTCAACTCTCCATCTTATTTTCACAATCCTTAACATCCACATTCCTGAGGCAGGGAGGGTATCTACCAACCAATTTTCTAGTTATTTTCCAACCTGCACTTACCTCCTTCCATAGATTTTTAAGGCTCTCCACTTTCCCAAGGTTAAAAAAAAAATGCATCCATTTTAATCCGCAAAAGAAACAGACGAACTACATATCATGAATCTGACTACATTCATCTCAAGCTAACATCTTCTCTCGCAAGTCAAGTCCATATTTGGGATAAGCTCTTCGTGACTACTCTTTCCTTCATGCTGTCCTCCTACAGAGCCTGCCTGGGTTCGAAAGCACTCAAGCCAACAACAACGACGACAACAAAAAGTGTTCCGACTCATCAATAGGTTTCCAGAGCTCCTCTTTCACGAGGGTCGGTCTAGGTGTTTGGGCAAAATAACTGCCAAGGATTACATAATGTATAGCTATTAGTTCACAGAGTCTGACCACCAGAAAATAGCTTTCTTCTCCGCACTGCCTCCCTATCCCAGGACACGGCCCTCGGAAGCCCACCCCCCACCCTCACCCCCAGGGTTTCACTCAGGTGTCTGCAGTGTCTCTTGCCTCAGGCTTCGCGCAGGGAACGCCTTGAGCCTCACTAACCTGTGTCAGGCTCCCGCCTCCTTCCCGCCTCAGCCTGCAACCGAAGCCCTCCGGCCCCGGCTAGGTCCCCAAGTCGCCCCACTAGACTCAGCTCCCAGCCGCGGCTGCCGCCTACTCACGACCCTCCTGAGCTGCTACCTGGCTTGTAAGGTTCCCGAGCCGCCAACAGTTCAGATGCCGCCTCCCCACCACACCCTCATCAGCTCCCCCCTGCCGTTTCCGAGGCCAGGGAAGAAAAACCCTCTTCACCCAACACCGTGCATCCCCCAAACACAGCACGGCCGCCTACCTGTCACCCCGCTGCCTCTGGCTTCCTACCGCCACCGCCTCCCGCAGTAGCTGCCAACTGCAGCGCAACAACCAGCCCTCTCATTGAGTGAGCCCACGCATTCAACAACAGCCGTCCTCATTGGTTGCCCCATGGCCTTGGCCCGCCCGTAGGTGCTCTGCCTGAAAAGTCCGCCCCGGCCAAGGAAAGCGTGTCTTCTCCACCCTTGTCTCCTCCTCAGTGCCTCTTCCCTCAGTCAGATTTCAGGTGTAATGTGCGAAAAAAAAATATCGACTTTCAGATACCCTCATGTTATTTCCACCCAATCTAGGAACCTGAGAGCCAGACCGGAATGCTTAACATTTCATCTGCTTTCCAGCCGTAAGGAAATCGAGGTGACAACATCCGCTTCCGGTTGGCTCCGGCTGGAAGGTTGAATACTGAGTGTCCTGAGAGGTCAGAGTGCTGTCAGGTAATTTAGGGAGTTGGTGGGAGACCTCTGGATTAGCAATAAAAACGAGGCTGTATTCCGAGGGATGCAGACGTGGAGGATGCTAAAAAGTGGCCCCGCTCAAGCGGAAGGAGAAGGGGGAACTACGGATGGAGCGCTACAGTGTATAACTAAGGAGCAGGTGGAAGGTGATGGATGCCCTGAGAATTAATTGTGTTTATTAAATCCTAAAGTTCTCCCCGCCCCCCAGCCCCCGCTGCTATCACATGCAACCCCACCTCCACACTGTCTTCCTGGCCTTTTGGTTTATATTTGGACACAGTAAAGAACAGCCTCCAATAAGAAGATACGTAAAACAGAAATAATTCCAATGGATGCTTTACCAACCTGTATCGTTTTAAGTAAAAATTTTCCAGCAAGTTACAAACTCATATCTACTGCATATTCCTAGGATTAAGGACTGGGAATCAAAGAGATAGTATTTCCCTTGTTTTTTATTTCTTATGTTATGGTCATCTCAGTATTTAATTGGAGTGGATTTGGATATTATACTTGAAAGTCCTTGGTAAGTTGTAAAATTTCAAGTAGTGTGAGTAGCGGTGTCCTATACATCTTCGAGCAAATAAGTCAGCAGTTCTGTGCTAGAGCCTGCACCTTTAAGGGGAGCTTATCGCCACCAAACTAGTAAGTTCACTTCAGACATAGGTAAATAGCGTTTAAATTTTCAAAAGTTATGTGTTCGTTGTTGTTTTCTTTACTGTTTTTATATGAACACCTCTGAAAATGAAATAATTACCTGTCATTGAGCCCTGAGCATAGTATAACTCATTTTTTTCTAATTTTAGTTTTTATTGTCAAGTACATATAATGGGATTATGTAAAACAAAAAGACACTTTGAAGAATTACAGTTAGGCAAACATTCCTGTGGCCACCTCTCAAGTTAGGAAACAAAGCATTGCTAATAATTTAGAACATGCATCGTCAAAAGGGGTGAAATTGGTTGGGGCAGGAATCACTACGATGATTTGTGTCTTTTCAAAGGGCCAATGGCTATAAATTACAATATATCTAATGATGAAATTTCACTAGGTTAGGGAGCATGATTAGGAAAAAAAAAAGTCTTAGTGAAAAAAGGCTCCCTAGTGAAACAGTAATTCAGAATGGGAACACTGCCATCAGATTCCTTAGCTTTTGGATTCTAGGTCCTCCAAGAGCTAGCTACCAACCTTACTGTGGCAAATACTCATTTATTTTACTTAAGTTTTTTCATATATGATGCATTCCTCAAATTTGGGGACTGGCAAGATGGCTCAGCGGGTTAAAGGCACTTGATATCAAGCCTGACCACCTGAGTTAGATTCCCAGGACTGACGTGGTGGAAGGAGACCAATTCCTGCACATTTCTCCCTGACCTCTGCATGCATGCCCCACTCTCCGCAAACTAAATAATAAAAAAATAAAAGGAAATTGTTAGGCCTTTCTATTTATGAGATCAACGTGCAAGTTCTTTTTCCTGGTACATCTCTTACTCATTACATTCATGCCTTTTAAAGCATTTTTATGTTACATTTATTTATTTTATGGGTGTCATGAGGCAAGGTATGGAAATCAGAGCACAGATTTGGGGAGTTTCTTTCTCCTACTGTATGGGTCCTGGAGATTGAACTCAAGTTACCAGACCTGACAGCAAGTTCCTTTACTCACTGAGCCATCTATCTCACTGCCCCCCTTTTTCTTTTCTTTCTTATCTCGGGATTGAACTCCCATATGCTTGACAAGTTCTCTACCACTATATATCCCTAGCCTTTGCTAATACTTTTGCATGTAGATTTTTATTGCTTAGTATTCCATAGGGTGACTGTACAGCAATCCTTTCTACTGCTTTTGGATTAGGTTGCTAACAGTTTAGCGCTAGGATAAACAATGTGGCCATGAAGATTCTTTTTAAGATAGGAAGCAGTCAAAATGATACTGGCCTGTAATACCAGCACTTGGGAGATGGAAGCAGGCTGATCAAGAGTTTAAGGTCATCCTTGGCTACATAGAGAGTTTTGAGGCCAGCCTGAGGTACATAAGACTATCTTAAACAAAATAACAAAATAAGATTCTTATAAGTATACCTCAGTGGTAAAGTTATGAATGTTTTACTCAAAAAATTTGATAAAACATATTCCTAGTACATACGCAGAAGTTTCCGTAGAGTAGTGCTGTACAGTAGAAATGATGGAAGCCACATATGTAATATTAAATTTTCTAGTTGACTTACTAAAAAGTAAAAATGCTTTCATCTAACACAATATACTCAAAATATTCTCTCTCAAAGATGTACTCAGTATTATTAATGAACTATTTTACATTTTCATACTATCTTCAAACTTGATGTACTTGGTATGGACATAGCATTGTGTTTTTATAAGTAAAAATAGTTCATCAGTGTTTGTATTTTGTAAGATGTACACTTGGAAAAGTATATTCATGTGCCTAAATAATTCCAAAGACATTTTAGTATTTTCTAAATATTGACTTAAGAATTTGATGTTTGCTGCTCTTCCAAGAGCACACCAGTTCGATTCTCAGCATCCATGTCAGGCAACTCAAAATCCACCTGTAATTCCAGCTCCAGATGCTCCAACACCCTCTTCCTGTCTCTACAGGCGCACACACGCACACACAGACACAGACACACACATGGCATGTGCATACACATGCATATAAATTTTAAAAATTTAAGAAAAGAATTTGCTGAAGCTGGGTGTGGTGACACATGCTTGTAGTCCCAGCACTTGGGAGGCAGAAGCAGGCAGATCTGTGAGTTCAAGGCCAGTCTGGTCTACATAGTGAGTTCCAGGCCGGCTGGGGCTATAGAGAGACCATGTTTCAAAAAGACCCCCCCCCAAAAAAAAGAATTTGCTTTGAGATTTAAATTAATTGATATTCCCAGTTCCCTAGTTGTATAGCCACATTTCAAATGTTAATGACTTCAAATGAGACAGTGCCATTCCATTCCAGAGTGTTTATGTGCTACAGAGGAATTACTGGCCATAAAGTGTTTGAATGTTCAGCTTTTCTGGGTCATGCTAGTTTTTGAGAACAATTGTGTTTAGTCACATTCTCAGCACTTGGATGTGAAAATGGAAGGTACATCACAGCGTGTTCTCTGCATTTCTCAGTCTTGCAAGGTAGAGTTTATCCTTGTTATGTGAAGAAATAGAAGTCCAATGAGATTGAGTGATTTTCCTGGGATTTTATAGCCATTAGTGGTTCAAAATAAGATCATGTCAAACTCTTCCTTCAAACAATTGAGATGTTATTTATTTATGGCTAATTCAAAATAGCAATAGTTTTTTGTTTTGTGATTTGAGATGTGATGTTGCCCATGCCAGCCTTAAACTGAACTAAAGTAATCCTGTGTTAGCCTCTCAAGTAGCTGTGACTATAGGCCCCTGTATCCAGCTGAGACAGAAACACTTAGAAAATGAAAGGTTCCCTAGAAATAGGGTTCTTTACTTATTTATGTTTTGAAACTTCCTCTAGAAGGATCCTTTCAGAAATACTGAGTGCTGGACAGCTTCGGTTGTCATCTTGACACACCTGAATGGTAGGAGCCTCAATTGAAGAATTAGCTTTATTGGATTGGCTTATGACCATGTTTGGGGGCATTTTCTTGACTGTTGAGTGATGTGGAAGAGCCCACCTCACTGGGGCAGTGCCGTCCCCTGTGTTGTATAATAAAGCAGGCTGAGCACAGGTCAGAGGAGCAAGCCAGTAAGCAGCGTTTCTCCAGGGTCTGTGCTTCAGCTCTTGCCTCTAAGTTCCTACCCTGGGTTTTTGCCCTGACTTCCCTCAGAGATAAACTGTGAGCAGGGCGATTAAGATAAAATAAACCTTGCTCACTAGTTGATTTTGGTCAGTGTTTTTATCACAACAATGGAAAGCTAGCTAATACATACTATAATTAGGTAGAAAAGAAAACACTGACTTTATTACAGGAATTTGTGCACGAGAAATGGAGGTATGTATCCTTTCATGTTTTCTTTCAAAGATTTATATTTCAAATTAATATTTTGAGATAGTTATTTTGCAGCTTCAAAGTAGCCTTATGGTAGATGTTTAAATTTCTGTTTTTCAAAACGAATTATTATATCACAACTTTGACCCTGCTGGGCATAATGGCTCATGCCTGTATCCCCAGCACTTAGGAGGTGGAGTCTGGAGGATCAGAAGTTCAGGGTTGTTCTTGGCTGTATATCAAGTTGAAAGTTAGCCTGGTATACATGAGACTGCCAGGAAAAAAACCCAAAAAACAAAAAAACCCACCTTTGTTGATACATTGGTACTCAATCAAGACTAATATTCTAGAGTTGACATTTGCTTAAATAAGGATTTATCTTGTAATCTCTATAAACGTTTTTTGTTTCTTTGTTTGG